TACAGATGCGACGGATGGAGAGGTGGTGACAGCCGGCGATGGGAACAATTCAGGTGAGGACGCTGACTCATGCACACAGTAGCACCCTGCACATAGCACACAGTAGTACCCTGCACATAGCACCCTGCACATAGCACACAGGAGCACCCTGCACATAGCACCCTGCTCATAGCACCCTGCACATAGCACACAGTAGCACCTTGCACATAGCACACAGTAGCACGCTCCTCATAGCACCCTGCACATAGCACACAGTAGCACCCTGCACATAGCACCCTGCACATATCACACAGGAGCATCCTGCACATAGAACACAGGAGCACCCTGCTCATAGCACACAGTAGCACCCTGCACATAGCACCCTGCACATAGCACCCTGCACATAGCACACAGGAGCACCTTGCACATAGCACACAGGAGCACCCTGCTCATAGCACACAGTAGCACCCTGCACATAGCACCCTGCACATAGCACACAGGAGCACCCTGCATATAGCACCCTGCACATAGAACACAGGAGCACCCTGCACAAAGCACACAGTAGCACCCTGCACATAGCACACAATAGCACCCTGCACATAGCACCCTGCACATAGCACACAGGAGCACCCTGCACATAGCACACAGGAGCACCCTGCATATAGCACCCTGCACATAGCACACAGTAGCACCCTGCACATAGCACACAGGAGCACCCTGCACATAGCACAGAGGAGCACCCTGCATATAGCACCCTTCACATAGCACACAGTAGCACCCTGCACATAGCACACAGGAGCACCCTGCACATAGCACACAGTAGCACCCTGCACATAGCACACAGTAGCACCCTGCATATAGCACCCTGCACATAGAAGACAGTAGCACCCTGCACATAGCACACATGAGCACCCTGCACATAGCACACAGTAGCACCGTGCACATAGCACACATGAGCACCCTGCACATAGCACCCTGCACTTAGCACACAGTAGCACCCTGCTCATAGCACACAGTAGCACCCTGCACATAGCATCCTGCACCTAGCACACAGGAGCACCCTGCACATAGCACACAGGAGCACCCTGCACATAGCACCCTGCTCATAGCACCCTGCACATAGCACACAGTAGCACCCTGCTCATAGCACACAGTAGCACCCTGCACATAGCACCCTGCTCATAGCACACAGTAGCACCCTGCACATAGCACACAGGAGCACCCTGCATACAGCACGCAGTAGCACCCTGCACATAGCACGCAGTAGCACTCTGCATATAGCACACAGTAGCACCCTGCACATAGCACACAGGAGCACCCTGCATATAGCACACAGTAGCACCCTGCACATAGCACGCAGTAGCACCCTGCATATAGCACACAGTAGCACACTGCTCATAGCACAGTAGCACCCTGCATATAGCACACAGTAGCACCCTGCACATAGCACCCTGCACATAGCACACAGTAGCACCCTGCACATAGCACGCAGTAGCACCCTGCATATAGCACACAGTAGCACCCTGCTCATAGCACACAGTAGCACCCTGCATATAGCACACAGTAGCACCCTGCATATAGCACACAGTAGCACCCTGCTCATAGCACACAGTAGCACCCTGCACATAGCACACAGTAGCACCCTGCGTATAGCACACAGGAGCACCCTGCACATAGCACCCTGCACATAGCACACAGTAGCACCCTGCACATAGCACACATGAGCACCCTGCACATAGCACCCTGCACATAGCACACAGTAGCACCCTGCACATAGCACACAGGAGCACCCTGCACATTGCACCCTGCACATAGTATATAGAACATAGCACCCTGCACATAGCACCCTGCACATAGTATATAGAACATAGCACCCTGCACATAGCACCCTGCACATAGTATATAGAACATAGCACCCTGCACATAGCACCCAGCGCCGAGCTTTTACGGTCCAACACCGAACGTGCACCATGACCTTGTATCACTCTGTATGGCAGTCATTGAGCTTGGTTGACCATATTGCACCAGTCATTGAGCTTGGTTGACCATACTTCACCACGCTGGTCAGTACGGGTCGGTCAAGTGGAGAGGCGGTGGGGGGGGGGCAGGGGTGCCCAGCAACGATTCAGACATCGCTCGTGCCACTGATGTTTTGGCGTTACCGGGAATCGTACTCAGATCGTTTGGGTTCATGGCAAAGTGCGCTAAGCACCGTGCCACCACCAGCCCCCCCCCCCCCCCATACAGAACATCGCACCGAAGCTGAAATTATTAAATCTTGATTTGAGGCTTTCGTGACTGCAGGAATCCATACTCTCTGCTTCTTTCGGTAAAGTCACGAATTTATTTGTATCAACGGAGCATCGGTTGTAACGTCCTGTATCTGAGCCGGATCGCGAGTCTATTTATTCATGAACACATTCGTTTGCTTATTTATGATTGTTATTTTTTTATTATTATGATTTATTATTGTTATTTATTATTGTCATTCATGATTGTAATTTATCATTGTTATTTATTATTGTTATTTTTGTTGTTGTTATTTTTTATTGTTATCTATTATTATTTGTTATTGTTATTTATTATTATTTGTATTTATTATTGTTATTATTGTTATTTATTGTTGTTATTTATTATTGTTATTCGTTATTGTTATTCATTATTGTTATTTATTGTTGTTATTACCCGGCTTGTTGAACCGCATCCACCGCACAAACCCACGGCAGGAGCAGATGCGGATAACCCCCGATGCACAAATGGAACATTCAAAACTGTCCAGCAGTGGTGTTGGCCACTGTGTTCATCCAGAACGGAGACCGGAGTGCGACGTGTAACGAACGACGCAATGCCCGATCCACAAACACGAAGGAGAGACATCGCAGCGATGATGACGATGATGGTGACAACCGCCACTGCTTCTCCTGACGCAGTTGTCTTGGCTCGAATGCGACATTAGTCGTCGATGCTCTGCATCCACATCGCGAGCCACCCGACGAGAAAGCACGAGGCCACGCTTCGTTCACCCACCGAGCCTCGCGAGGGTCCTGCCAAGCTGTCGCGGTTGCGGCCGAAGTTGCTGCTGCTGCTGCGGTTTTAGTGGCGGAGGCGCTACCGTGGCTAGGAGATGTCAACTCTCTCGCCCGGTATACAGGAGGTCGTAGGTTCGATCCCGACCCTGGCGATACATGTTGTATATTTGGGGTTTGCGGTGTTCGCTCTCCCCGTGGTCGCGTGGATTTTTCTCCGGGTCCGCCGGTTTTCCACCACATGTAGAATCAACATCACGCGTTTCGAGTAATTGGGCGCTATAGATGTCCACGTGATAAGCCACTTTGGTGAGCTATCATTTGTAGCCAGGTCGCTTCTGGAAAAATAGCTATGTAGCTCAGAGGGCATTACCTGGTAAAAAAATAAAACATCGTTAAGTTCATAGTTTTTTTGTATATAGTTTAGTAGCCTAATCCTAGCTGAGTCATTTACAGATAGTTTTTCAGCTTCGGGTTACTTCTGTTGCCACGCAGTATCCCAGCAACCGACGCTGGGATTTATGGCTGAAAGAATGCGCCTCTGCTAAGCATCCGTTACAAACACCGCGGATTGTCGATGGGGGAAGAGCCACGGTGTCGATTCCAATAACTTCCACCGAACGTGTCTCAGCTCTTAGGGCAATCCACTGCTGGATGAGAGCCTCCCTCCAAGCACACGCAGATTCATGGGGCGGTTATTTTTTTACCATACTTCACCAAGGCGATCAGTGTGGGTCAGTGGTTATTCATTCTATAGATAGAAACACTTTTTTTTCAGAATTCGTGAAAGGAGAAGTTGGATTTCTCGGCCGTGTCAGGAGACAATAAGAGACTGAATGTGAATTATCTTTCGACTGGAGACATTAGACGTTACCACAGGAAGCCGAGGACGACAGCGAATCGAGTTGCATGGGCAATGTGTACAATCCGGACGAAACTGGGGAACAGATCTTGAGTAAATATCACGAATAGAGAGCTGCGTGGTGCGGGGAATGCCTCGATTGCCGTCGGCATTGAGAAAGGACGCGGTCAGGTAGAGAGAGACACACACACGCCAGCTACAGTACGCAACTCACTCAGCCTCTCATTTCTGGATAGACTAGGAATCCCACTGCTCCACAATTGCCGCTAACGCTCGCCCCTCCGCGGTCGAGAATGTTGCAACTCTTCAGAGTTCTCGCTTTATCTCACCCTGCCCGATGCCAACTGCATCCCAGTTTATTCCTCTGAATTGCCGTCTCCAATTAATTATTTTCTTAAACTATTAAACTATTTTTTTTATTTTACCAGGTAAGTCCCACTGAGCTGTATAGTACCTCAGTGGGACTTACCTGGCTATCACAAATGATAGCTCAACGAAGTGGCTTATCACGTGGAAATTCATCGGAGCCAAATACTCTAAAAACGAGTGATGTTGATTCTAAATTCGGAGGGGAAAACCAGAGGACCCGGAGAAAAATTCACGCGACCACGGGGGGAGAGAGAGAGACATGCAGACTCCAAATATAGAGCAGGGCCGGGATCCAACCGACGACCTCCTGCATCCCAGGCGAGGTAGTTGTTCATCGAGTAAACTCTGCAGCTTGACTCCACCAACACTGCGGCTACCAAGGAGATGGAGCCAAACAATCAGCTCGCGTGCAAGCAGCTGGGCGGACTGTTACGTCGCAGCGTCGGGTAGGGAAGGTCTTTTTCATCCAGCAGTGGATTGACCATGGCTGATGGTGATGGTGGTGGTGGCTAACTCAAGCACTGAGCTAGAGTAACACATTTCGACAGTATGCTCCCTACTCAAAACGAGCGCTCACCTTCCGTTTCCGAGCCGGTTGGGGGAAATTCCACATTGCTATGGCCGGGGGGGGGGGTGATAGGGGGCAGTTTATCTAGAAAACAAGACGCGCTGTGGGCCCGCCACACAACGTGGAACATTGAGTATTGCATTCCCAATCCCCCCGCTAAGCCTACAGACGGTGGTATAAAACAAGTTGTCCCTGGGCAAGTCACAACGTGCCTCAATACCCCCGCAGATGCCTTAAATTAATTCAATT